GGACTCTGGGCGACCCGCCTCAGACTGTCAGACTTAAGAAGTGCTTTGCGGAGTGCCAACCAAGCCAATGACCCTGAGGGGCTGCGGAACTGCTTCGAGGGTGGCCTCGAACACCGCCGATCTCCGACCAAGTCCCAGCGTCGCTATGCCACGTTTTGGGACACCTTGTCCTCTGCGGAGAAGCCTTCAAAGCCTGACACAGAGAAGATCCCAAAGATGCTCCCGCTCTGGTGGTTTGCCGCTGGTGCCTGCTAGGCGGCTGAGGGTGGTGAGCACCACCGCGGCCGCTGGGCCCAGGCTTGCATCCGGGGCCTAAGATCGTTACCGCCTTTCTGCTCCTCTCACTCCTCTCCTCTTCTGTTCTTTCTGCTCTCTTGGTCCCCGGCACGTGGCTGCAGCTCCAGGCGGTACTTCGTGCCAGGGCGCAAATGCGTCAGCTCGTGCCGCAACTCTCCCCGCAATCCTTCGCACAAGATGCCCCTGCTGCATGCCGCATGTTCTGCAAGACGGGCTACTGGCGGCCACTGAGGCTCAACGTGAAGTTCGCCTCTCCGTCAGTGTGGCAGTGCAGCCACTGCTCCAGACTCGTCCGGCGCACAGAAGACTCTGAAGCGTGAAGCTGCGTGAAGCTGCGTGAAGCCCCGTGAGGTCGGCTCTCTCCGTCGATCCCGTGTCCGTGTCCCTTCATCCCTGCGTTGTGTCCTTGCTGCTCCAAGCTCGAGATCTCCAAGAGCTCCACTCGAAGCCGGGACCTGAGAGCAGCCGGGCATCCCTCGAAGCAGCGTCGAAGCGGCGGAGGGAGGGAGAGAGAGAGAGAGAGAGGCGGCCCAGAACTTTCTAGACCGGGCTCGGAGCCACTCAGCGCCACCACGGAACTCGAAGATGGAGAGCTGATACTCCCTGGGCCGGGCCTGCTCCAAACGCAAGGGGCACCAAAAAGAAGACAGGCTCCCCGCGAAAGAAAAAGCTCTTGTAGAGCGCCAAAGCAGGGTCCTCTGGCGCCGGCCGGGTCCAACGCACTGCAGCGGAAGGCACCAAGGCTGGCACCGGCTCCTGCGACAGAATGGCACTGAACCCGAAGCGTGCGCCCATGCCTGGGACGGAACCGAGGCCTCGGAGCGAAGGTTCTCTGGCGCATAGAGCGCATAGCCAGTCTGCACACCTCTGCACATTGCTTTGCAAGCCGCTTCTCGCCTGAAATTTTCACTTCAGGAGGCTTCGGCTTCGGGCCTGCAGGTAGAAGCACAGGTACACTGCACTGGGACGGAGCATCCTGCACCTTCTTCCTCGGTTTTCGGGGGCTGCAAGGAGCAAAGAGGGAGCCCAGCTTGGTCAACTCGTCGCCAGTTGCGGGCAGAGGGTCTCCAGCGTCTGTGTTCCCATGCTGGAGGTGCCGAGGCAATCTGGACCGACCTTCTGCAGCCGCTGGTTTGCAGACCAGTCGGAACCAGGCAGAACAAGGTGCCTGATGCGCCGCCAGCTCACGAATCGGTACCTTTTTTTCGAGTCTTTGAAAGGCATAAGCGCAAGATAATGGCGGCTGTTCTGAGAGGTGGACCTCTTTGTGGCAGCGAGGACCTGTGGACCGCCGGGCTAAAGGAAAGATCGGCCACACTCAGACCGGCCACGCCAAGGCCACTGCAGGCCGAAAGCACCATTCGGCACTGGTGACTCTGATGGGCGCTGAGCTCGCGCATGGGCACTGCCATGCTGCACAAACCACAAAGCACCTGTGGGCCTCAGACTCAAAGCACTGACGGACCATTGCGAGAAGCGCTGGCAGCCGGGGCACTGCCCAGACGGTAGCTCATGAGATCACCGGCAGTCTGCCAGAGCTGTCGGTTCTTGATGTCGGAGGTCAGCACCTTGACCGGACCATGGCCCCACGGCACAAGACCTCTCGGCTGAGCCAGGTGCCACTGTCATGAGCAATACCTGCAGCCAGATGGTTGACGTCTCTCGGACGCTGCTCAACGAAACGAGAGAGAGAGAGAGAGAGGGACATAGAGAGACAGAGAGCTACCTGCTACAAGTACCTCTGGTTCAAAAGCAAGGCACCCCCTCGCCGTTCGCGTGGCAATCCAGCTCGGGTTGCACCTGTGCTTCCCCGACGAGCTTGCCCCTGGCATGGGCATGGAGCAGGGCAGGATCGAAAGGCCCCAGCAGCTTGCAACAAGTCAGGAAGGCTGGGCATCACGAGTAAGCAGAAGTGGCTGCGCACACAACGCCCCCCACGCGATCCAGGACCTTGGATGACACTTGTGCAGGATGTGACCAGGAGTTGTTCGGCAATCTCGACATTCGCTCCGACCTAAACAACGAGCACGGCTTGGGAAACATGTCATCTCGATGATGTTGGCAGAGCCACAGGCCCCGAACCCCAGGACTCAAGCCCGGAACACAGGCCCCAAGCACGCGAGCAGTACGAGCAGTCCCGGGATCAACACTTGGACGCAGCGATGATGTCCACGCCAGAACCGCGGCCGATCCGCCTCGAAGCAATCGGATTGCTGAGCTGTCAAAGGCCTTTATGCTGGGGCTGCGTGCCGTAGCTTCTCGCCATCCAGCAACATCAAGTAGGCAGACTTCTCGCTGAGCTGCTTCACCAGCGGCCTGGACTTCAAAAAGACTCGGTTCAGGGAGAGCCGGACCTACGACTTCAAGCTTCGGGGCCCTAGTGTCTAGAGTCAGAGTCGGAGTCTCTTGCGAGCCTGATGTCGTAGCGGACGGCAAAGCAGTAGGGGGGCTGCTGCGTGGCCAGGCCGCTCGAGTCCCGGAGCTGAAGCAGTGACCTTCTCCAAAAAGGACAGCGACTAGCGGCAGCAACAAAAACGACGAAAAAACGTAAATACCCAATGAGGTACTAGTGTCAAAGACCGTGATGAGAATAGTAATCGCAATGATATAAAACGTTACTTGTACTGAACATGGAGTATGTATGTATACATGCATGGATGCATGTATGAAGGGATGGATGGATGCATGTATGCATGAGTGTGCGTGTGTGTGTGTGTGTGTGTCTATGCATATACATATTATGCATTCATCTGCATGCTGATTTCTTCACTGCTTATGCAAAGAATGTACATCTTGTGCCTGTTCCCATACTTCTGCAGCATATCAACAAAGCGGACAGAAGGAGAGCCTCTTGCAGAAGTGTCCCGGCCATAGTGGCGTTGGCCAAAGCTCATCCGGCTGCTCCTGAGCCCCGGAGCTTCAGGGGTTTTGGATCTGTGCAACCGAGGCTTTCGTAAGGGTCTGCAAGAACATCGAATCATTCGGTAGTCGGAACTGCGATGTAGGCATAGAGGCGGCTGCGGCTGCAAGACACAACCAGAAGAACAAACTAGCTGCGAGAGGTCGTCACAAAACCTATAAGAGCAAACAAGCAGTCGGCATCACCCAGGCACCTTCGGAACCTCTGCGAGGCAATGCTCCAAGCTGTCAGAATTGGCAGAAAAGTCCGCGGACTCGACCTACCACATTGCAGGACATCGTGGGATGCTGTAAAGAGTCTCCATTCTTGGCGAGGTGCTGTGGGGCCGCTGGCGATGGCTGAAGTCTTTTTTGCTGGAGCTGTCTGCGGGCGATCCATGGCTCAAGACAACAACATGACTTCAGCCGGAAGGGTCTTAGGGTTTAGGGTTTAGGGTGTTGAGTTGAGGTTTGCAGCATGCCACCAACATCAAGCTCTCGGCCGACTCACCTCCCACCTACCAAAACGCCTGATAGTTCATTGCCATGCGAAGACCTCTACAGCGACGGAGTTTGAGCCAATACACACCACAGTGCGCAAGCTGGGTAGTAGCATCCGGCTTAGAGAGTCCAAGAAATGCCTCGTGCCAACATAATGCGAATGATCGGATGAAGCACGGTGGGGGTGAGGCATGTGAAAACCAACCTCGAACCCCACGGTGCCCACATCCGCCGTTTCAGGTTGGCAAGACCGTGCCACCAAACCGGGGAACGCACAAGTCAACGGTACAAATGGCTATTGCTCAGAATTGAGTTTTTGTCAAGCCCGCCAAAGAACACGTCATGTCCACTTGCATGTAGAACAGAAGGCTACACTGTGAGATTAAACAAGGCTTTGTTACTACCCCAATACAATTAAAGCTTCCTTGGTCTATATTATTCATGCTGTGCAACCGCCACTCGTGTGGGTATCTGCAGTGTCTTGGGCTGGGTGTGCATTGCACAGGGAGACTGGTCCATGTTGGCTCCCAACGCATCGTTCGCAGAATCGGCCTCTCGCCCACCATAGCCGGATGCACGACACAACTGCCTTCCCTGACGCCTCGCTTTGTAGCCCTGGCCGGCTGATGATGCGCCCAGTGGTGAACGGAAGACGTCTCAGAGGTCTTTGGCCTGGCTCCTGCTTTTGAGGAGCCCCGGGGCCCTGGCGACTCCATCGCCCCCGGCCTTGCACTGAGCGCCTCTGAGAAACGTCTTTAGGCCGCACTATGCGGCTTGCAGTATGCGTGAAGTCCATGGTCGGGCTTGTGCCGATCACCATCCGATGGCGAGACTGTGATGAGCTCAGGCTTCATGAACCCTGAACTTCGCGGAAGAAAAGTGCACGACGGTGAGGAGGCTCCCAGCGGACAACTGATCTTTGGTAGATCTCGCCAGGTAACCATCAGTCTTGGGAAGAAACCCGAAAATCTGTTCCGAACCGCGTCGTGTCTTTGAGACCAGGCTTGCTGCCCAGCTTGGGGCAACAAGGAAGGTCGCCTATCGCAAACATGCAGATGAATTCGTCAGAATTCCAGACTCTCTACTCATAATGTCCCGACGGAAGAAACTCCTTGCCAGCCCTCCGGTCCATGCAAGTGCCCGTGGCCTTGCAAGCCGAAGGAGGTAGAGCTGAGATGAGCAGAGTCGAGCGTGCTTCTGCTCCGTTTAATCAACGACCTTCTGTGCTTTGGGCTCACTGGCGCTAGGCTCCGTGGGCGAGGGCGGAATGCAGATCTCGCTTCGCACGCCCCGGCCGCAGATGTCCTCGAAGGTCCCGGGCTCGGCTGATTGGGCATTCCTTAAGGCCCCCACGGTGAGCAGAGAGATCTGGTGCTCCAAAACCTGAACTTTCCTCATCAGCTCCTCCATCTTTCGGTCTGAGGAGGTACCCTGGCCTTCTCTTTCCGGCTCGGCAACCCCCGTGAATTGTTCGGCATCCGTAGTGGAGGCCTCGCTGAGGTTCCCAGGCGCAGAAGAACCGGAGAGACCCTTCGGGAGCGTGAACCACTTCCTCGGGGAAACCTCCAGGTACCGAGATCGGCGACTAAGATCTTCGCGCATCTTCGACAGCCCATAGAGCGTGGCTTTGTGAGTGCCGGCATCCAAGCTGCCATCGTCGAACTGGTGCTCCCAGAAGTCCTCACAGGGTCGGCTGACATCTTGCTATGATATCAATGATATCCTATGTCAGATGTGAGCCCGAAACCCGGCAGGTGTCCAGGCCGATCAGCTCGCAGGCCCGCGAGACGCGGAATCCGAACAAGAGGTCCACCAACATCACAAGGACGTAGGTGGATGTCAGGGATATGGCCATGAGCACCAAAATGCCGAGCACCTGTAGCAGGTAGTCAAGCTGATGTATGGTGAGCAGGAACAAAGTAAGCTTCGCTGACATCCCCGCACATACATCAGAGGCTTTGCTCCCGTAGTGCTCTCACTGCGAGCCCGCAAGAAAGCTTGCGGCTTCTCTGTTCCTTCTTCCCTGGCTACTCAAGCGACTACTCTGAATGAGTGACGATGTCCAGGATGGAAAACCCACGTGCCATGACGTGCCAAGCCGCAACGAAACCTGTACACAACAAAAAACACGTTCACGTGCCCCAAAAAGCACGAGTTTTGGCGGGATTCAGAGCCAGGGACCCGGAAGCATTTTTGTCCTTCCCCCCGGCCTGGACGCCCAAAAGGCGCCAAGCGGCATCGCCGCCCCCAAAGAAGATGCCGGAATAGTCATGATTATCGCCGCAGTGCTTATCGGCGAAGAGAGCGACTGCCAGCGTTCCCCACGCGCCACTTGGGCCGTGAGCAGCGACCTGAAATCTGGCGAAAGGCAGAGGATTTAGCGCCCAAAAGGCCTCAAGGCTCTCGTACACGTAATCGCCTTCCAAGGGGCAGCGCCAACGGCATCGTCAATCTGGAATCTTGCGAGCAGCTCCTCGAAGCTCAGTGTCAGCAGGGCGGCCACGAAACCCACCAGCGGAGCTATCGGAACGGGGATGACCGTGCAGCATGCGCAGCTGGCTACCAAGCCTGCACGGACGTGGACACGGCAACTTGGTTTTTTGGACGTTCCTGGCTACGATGCGCACTGTAGCCGCTGTAGCCTCCGACCACAGCATTGGTCAGCTCGGGGACTCGCACTACTGCTGCCCGCGCCGCGACGACGGAGAAGAGCATGCCTATCCCACAGGCTCACAGCACACCAAAGCAGCTAGACCAGCACCCTTCATCCCCTCGGCTTCTCCCCAGAAGGCCTCCCACCCCCGCTCCCGCTGAAGCCAAGAGCGTTGTGACCTGAGCAAATATCTTGGGAGCTGTTCTTGCTCGGGGAAGGGGCCCAAGGGACCCAAGAGGCCCGTGATGGGGCTGGGGATCGAGCAGAGCTGTAGGCCACGGTGAGGTCCTTGTCGGCTGTGGTGGCAAAGGTCGAGGCAGGGTTGAAGGCCAGGAATCCCACGAGCCTCAAGCTTTCCCGGAAGTCTCTCAACACTCATCCACAAACCGGGGTTTGTATCTGATCCAATCCGAGAAGCAGGAGGAAGGTGCCGAAGAGCAGCTGCACTGGGTGCCTGCACCGCCGGAAAGGCACGAAGACTTTCTTCTCCACGGGCGCCTGAGGTCAAGGCAGCTTCTGATCAGAACGGCTGCTTCGGAGTTGCGATCCCAAGCCCAAAACACCCCGAAGAGCCGTCCTCAGGCTCCCGGTAGTACTTGTCGTCGTTCTTCTCTAAAAAGATCACGTTCCAGGGCGCTCGCCAAGCACGGTACTCCTTGAAGCGCCCAATGCGTGGGCCGACGAAGCAGGTGGCGACCTCAATGCACAGCATGTCCGCTGGGCTCGCAGCCTCCGCAAGGCCCTGGCCACGGCGCTCGTGGCCCCGACCAAATGGACGGTGGCCGAGCCTAATCTGCTCACGTAGTCACTACGTTTCAGTGCTTCTCCGCACACAGGAGACGGCCTGCAAAGTCGATGAAGCCCATCTGCTGGAGCCAGCCGCCGCCCCAGACGAGGCGCGCGGAGATTGGGTACACGACGCCTCGACGGACATCGCTCGAGGCATGCTGTTTCCCGGCATCTGGGTGACCCCACATAACGAACAAGCGCTTTGCTACTGTAACGGCATGTTAGCCGAACCTTCCTTAAGGGGCCATTGATCGTAGCGCAGACAGCGCCCGGCCGGGCACACCGCCCGAAAACTCGGTGCTGGTGCCGGGCCGGGCTCGCACTTCTGCGCACGTCCCGAACACCGCCCGAGAGGGCGAGTGCCGGCCGATGGTCAGGTTTGAAAGACCAAGCGGTCGAGCCGGAATGCTGCCGGCCGACCGCTTACGCTTGTTCCTAAACACTTCCTATACTAAGGTGCAGCGGTCCCTTTTTGGTCGTAGCGCAGACAACTCGGTGCCGGTGCCGGGGTGCGCACTTCTGCGCCCGCCCGGCGCACCCACGCCCTGCCAGGCGCCGGCACCTACCTGGCAAGATCAGCCGCTCAGGCGCCCCATGACAGGCGAAGCCGACGTTGACGGCCGCCTCGCCGAGGACGGGTGCCCGCACCCGTGTCCTGCCCTCTGCCCGTGCTCTGAAAGACGGCGTCCTTTTTTTCATTCATTCGCTTCAGCTGAGTCAGCTGTCATGCGGGCGATTGTGAACCTTGTCACCCCTCGATTGAGGGTTCGCCGGTGAGAGGCAGACATGTCACTGCGCCCCGAAAGGCCCTACAGCAACATGGCAAGACTGCCTTTGCAGCCGTAAGAACTGTGCCCCGAAGAGCCCGACAGTTTACCGTGTCATGGCAGGGACGTGACCATCTAAAGTCAGACTGTACAAGGTTCTACACAGACTTAAGAGTTGTTCAGAAGAAAGAGAAAGGCATCTTGATGGTGTGAGGAAATCCTCATACATCATCTGTAAAAGCCGATGCCATTGGAGATCGCGCGCTTGTATCAAAGGGGGTGGAGTTCACTCACCCTCGCAACAATATTACTCTCTCTGCAGTTGCCGGTATGCAAGCAGGTAGCAGTTGGTTGTGATGGCCTGTTGTGTGGCGGCCGTGCCTAAGATTGCTTGATTATCATCATCATGCACAAGGTGTGATGACCAGATATCTTCGCTATCGCCGGGAAAGTAAAAGGCTTGATAGTGACCAGCCGTGACTACTTTGCCGATATGGAGCACGCCTCCGCAAAGTTGATACGGAATCTGCTCAACTGACCCTGCATGATCAGAAAAGACCGGGATGTGCACCTTTTTCTGCAGCTGAAAACTCTGCCGAGTTTTTCGTATGCCTCGCTCAGTGTGTAGAAAACGGCTTACCTGGATGATCAGTGTGTCTGGTGGTCTAGTGAAGGCGTGAACACTGTCCTGTTGGTGCCATTTCATGATGGCGTCTTGGACCTGAAAGGGCCGTGCCAGCTGAAGTCGAAGATGGGGGCATGTGAATTGCTCATCCGTGATGTTGTATGATTCTGCCCCCCGATGACGTGCTTCCCAGCCTCCTCTCAGGGCCGTGCAATCCACCTGCTGGCAAAGATGTTGCAGGAATTCAGCCGCATCGTGCTGGTGTGTGGGCTGTCTCCAGCCATGCCACAGACAGGCCCACTCTGTGCCCCTGGCGATGTTAGTCGCGTTACTGGATCTGGCTGCTTGGGTAAGTGCCCCGCTGATGGCTCTCAGGCCATTCACCTGCGAATCATGCGAGCGTGCATAGTAGAGCATGTGCAGCACAGAGTTGGCATAGCATAAATTACGGGGGTTGTGAAGTATGAGGGTTCGTGCTTTGGGTTCACAAGATTGTGAACTCTGCGCTCGCCATGATTGCAATGAGCCAGGCATCTTTTTCCCCCGATTTGCTACTCCCGTTTCTGTCTGCATTGCCCCTGCAGGTGGCGGAGACCGCGAGCCCCTGGGAATGCTAGTCTTGGCACCCTGAGGGTGCTCCCCTATAATGCGAGACTGCGGTGTGGCAACTGGGTTTGAAGGATTACTAGGTCCGGCTGATTTAAGGGGGTCAGGCAAGGGCTTAGGCTTTAGTTGTGCCTCGTCACCTTTGGCAATCTGTCCCGTAAAGAATTGCCTGATGCATGATTGCCCGACTTGATCAGGTGTGGTAGTCGGTGTGTGGTGCGGAGGCCGCTCAGTACCCAGGACCATGCCATCATAAGATTGTGAACGATGCGGAGTCCGCTTATCGTTTACAGTTGGAGCTTCTCCAGTTCCTTTGCGAGCGCCGTCTTGGAGACTCGTTCGCAGCGGAGCCTCAGTCCCACCAGCTTGCCCACGCTGTTGTCCGCGAGCAGGTCCAGGTCCTTTTGGATTTCCTCTCCTTTTTGGCGCAGCGTGAGAGTGAGAAGCATCACCACCACCTCCGCCTGGAGATCCGGCTTCAGTGGCTTGAGACTTTGAAATCGGTGCACGATGTCGTCCTTTGCCGTGATCTTGAGTAGGTTGTTCACGGCTCTCTTGGCGTCCTCGTGCGATAGATTGTCTCTGCTGCATGGAAGAGCCTTCTTTTGTTCCGCGTTCCACTCCGTGTATGCCCACTGGAGCGGAGACCGCGTAATCCAGTGAGCTGTTTCCGCGGTTTGGAGTGCTGGGGCATCGGTTTCGATCTTCTCGAGTCGAGCCTTCCATTCGAGGAGAAGGACTCCCCAGAGGGTGGCTCTTAGCGAGGTGGTGACGCTTCCTGCCTCGTACTTCTGATGCCAGGCTTGGCCGGCTTGGATCATCATACCAATCAGGCCGTGGTTGCCCGTCTCCAGGAAGAACACAAAGCTTCGGTCCGCTTCGAGTGACGTGAGCTGCTGTTCGTGTCTGGTCGCGGATTTGATCAGTACTCTCAGGATGCGTCTGATCGTGTCCTCGTCGAGCTGATCGATGTCCATCAACAGCTCGTCGTCCATGTGCTCGTCGTCTTGTTCCTCGGGTGGAGCGACGAGTCGCTGAGCTTCGCTCGGGTGAAACGTGCAGCTAGCTACACAACTGTACTCTAAGTCGGGTAAGCAGGACTATACAGCTGACTCGCGTTCTCGCAAGCACAGACGAGTCAACAAAAGGCCTTCCACTTGCAGGGACTAGCCGTCTCAACCACTCACCACTGTACAGTT